AGACTCACAAAAGTGGATGTCTCCTCTCCTGTAAACTAGCTCAAAAACTACGACCAATATTAAGAAAATGAAATATTCAAGAAAGCTTGAGAAATAGCACTCGGAGCAAAAGTATACTGGGGCTGGAACCGAGTGAAATCGCTGAATCAGAAAGATAAGAAACGGACCCATAGGCCCATGAGGCTAGAGCAGAATCAGCCACTCGAAAGGGAGGGGAACAAGGGAAAGAGCAGGTGTGATGACGCCACGGTAAATTCGCCAAAAGGACACATCTCTTGTGGAATAGAAACATGTCAGAAGTTGTGATAGGACGATAGACCAGGACAAAAAGAGAAGTGATAGAACAACCGTTTCGACAGAAATTTAGTCAAGGGATTGACTTCACTTGTCTCTGACGAGTTGAAGCTTGGTTGCTGAGAGTGGCAAGACTAACTGATGCTGCCGACTACGATGCCGGCGAAACATCTGGGAATGTGCCAAGTCAATGATCAGCTGCTGAAAATCACGAATACTGACAGAGGACGCATGACAAGATACGTTCCACAAGGTCTCCCTAATGCTCCGAACAAGTTGTCAAAACTAGGTCAAACCAACACTAAAATGACAAAGGAGACTTCGACCAAACGGAAGACCGCAGCAGCTTGGTCTTCATATATACAAGATATTTCAAGTTTATTCAATAGAAGAAATTTCTTTAAAATAAGCGAATAGCTTTTCTCTAATTTGACAGTTAATCCTTCTGAAAAACATATCTTTTAAAATTGTGTGTATTACTAATAGGACAAAAATATTACCATCCGAATCAATCCCTAACCATTAGCATTAATTAAAAAAATCTCTAAAATTGACATTGACATACTTTATCGTCGTAGTTAGGCATAAAACTAAATCGATGGCCAGACTCACCTATCCTTGACTTGGAAGAGATAGCTAACAAGACAGTAGGCCGCACAACTCTGCACAAAGTTACGCTGAGCAGTTAGAAATGCCTCCGATCTCGCACAGTCGACTTGACTCCTTGGCAAAGTAGAAGCCACCGAATGCTCCCCATTCACGTTGGTTGCCTTTGGCGACGAGGTCGAGCAGCCCTCAACAATTTCTACGGCTGTCATCGAAGCGGCAGAACTCGATGCAGAAGACCCTATCCGGTCGCTGCTAGCGGCCGAAGGCGAAACCGTGTAGCCCCCGTGCTCCCGGAGCATGTAATCAAGCAGAGAAAGCCGAGCATATCGGCGGATCTGATGAAGAGAGACGGTGTTTGGAACAGGTTCGATAAAACCACTGTCTGGAGAGGTGACAACAACAGTAAGTGGGCGTAGCCACAGGCTGACTCGCTCGCGACGCCAGATGTCCTGACAGAGATATATGAGAAAAAGAGACAAAACTCAGAAGTTGTGTGAAAAATAAAAACGAAAAAAAATACCAGTCAGGAAAAAGTTTAAAAAACGATTTAGCCACATACATCTGATATCAGACTCACCAATTGCAAATCTCACATCGTTAATAGTTCTCATTAGAATGAATAAAGCGGTTCGGAGAAGTGATTAGTTTGATCGAGCCTTGAGGAGATGACTAGATATGTAAGTTGTGTTCACCCTACTTGGTTTAAGATGAATCTCGAAAACCTACCCACTTATAAAAAGAGATGACTAGAACAGGAGAGATTTTGTGGGAAAAGAAATGAATAAAATGTAAAGATTTATATAACTGATTATCTATCGAGTCTACCTGTAGTTTAGCCAGCAGCTGATAAGCTAGTTGCTCTTGACGAAGATCATCACCAACCTTAACGATGGCGGCAGTCAATCGCCAACCAGGAAGATGACCCCAAGGAGAAGTAGCCTGAATTCGTTGTCGTTTCATTTCCCATGGCTCCTTGAGTACAGCAGCACTCGGGTCTTCGGGATCAGACTTGTAAGTAGATGGAGATGGAAAAGAGTTAATGAATAAAAGCACCATCAAAGAGGGCATAAGAAGCCACAAGATAAAAAGGCAAAGGAGAATGAGGGCAACGCTAATAAGGGACAATAATCAGTTGAAAGTTTACTTTGGTATATATATATATATATATGCATGCCTTAAAGAGAAAAAGAAAGAATATGAAAATAATAGCAAAATGACATTTGAAAGATATATGTGAAAAAGCAACCTCAATTAAAAGATGGAGCTTAAATTTACAGCAATTGAAGCATCCATAGCGCATAAATTGACTAGAAAAATTGTCTATACCGGTGAGCTTTCGTGACTCATTGGCTTCAATCGGCAGTAGGAATGATTAACTGCTTTAAAGAGTAATGTTGTATGGGAAAAGGAAGCCTAGAACATTTTAACCGGAATCGTGGGAGATTGTCTCACAGATAGCGTCAACCATTTTCCAGAAAAGTCAAATTACATCTAGCTAGAAGAAATCCGCG